TCGTCGTAGCACGTCGCAGGAGGCGGTCTATGCGTGAACGTGTAAGTGAGACCATGCGTGCGTGTACGTGCGTGCATGCGTGCGTGCGCGCGTACGCGCGCGCACCCGGAGCACGCACTTACGCACGATCGACGCGAATCGTTCGCTCGTTGTGCGTGGCGCGCGCTACGTTGCCATGACGACCAGCGGCAGTGGCACGCATTGATCGCAGACTCCCGCTCGCTCGCTCGCTCGCTCGGCGGTGCGTGGACTGCGGAGTCGAGTGCGTAAGAGACGCGACGGAGAAAGGAGAGGAGAATACGCATGCACACATAGGCGCCACGTACACGTGTGTAAATGCAGCATGTGCGCATGCACGCACGCACGCACGCACGCACGCACGCACGCACGCACGCACGCACGCACGCACGCACGCACGCCACGCACGCACGCACGTACGCTCGCAGGCAAGCACGCAGGCACGCACGCACGCGAAGAGGCAGGCATCGGGGATAATGCGCGAACGGACACGCCGGGCTTCCTCACTCTTTGCGAGGCTTTCTTTCGTGTTTTATAACGACGATTTAGAGCGTCCGTTTAAGCTATAGACTATCATTATTCTCGCCCGTACAGAACAACGATGATTATTAATTCATCTCCCTTCCTCCGTTTTTCATTTCCCTCGCCTTCAATCACGCACACGCCATCATTACCTATTCTCAAGTTCAATCGTCAATCTCCAGATTTTACTCTCACTTGCTACTTGCCGATCAATCTATTGCGAATAGGATTGATACAATCTGACGGAAATAAGATACACGTATCTATATCACCCTGGAGTTTCCTAACGACAAAGGGCAATTAGGAAATACTAAAATAAACACAAATTTTATTTTTCAGCACGCTCCTGTCACAAAATCTATCCTTTGACAGTTCCGGCCTCGACTCCGGGCGGAACCAGATCTACAAGAGAGTTCCAAGTTTTTTTTCCCGCGAAGAGTACAATTCGAGGTAATAAAATCGCGTCGCCGCGCCGCGCCGCGCCGCGCCGCGCCGTGCGGTGTCGGCCGAGCAGAAGCGGCAATGGATGAACGAAAGGGTTAGCTTCGAGATTAAAAGGAAGTCACCCCCTGCTCCTCCCTTCTCTCCCATCAATCACAATTATATCCTCTCTCTCCCCTGCTATCGTTCATAATTACTGCTCGTGACTTTATCCCGGCGCTCGAAGCTGCCGGTCGACCAGCTCGGTAGCGCGAGAGAAAAAGAGGAAAAGGGGGGAACATGGGGTGCTCGGAGTGAGATGGAGACACTACAATAGACTTTTGGCACGGAGATTACTGTAAAACTCTCTGTCGGGGGTGGCGGGGGATCTCGAGGAGAGAGAAAAAAAGTTTCAAACCCTCCGGCCGTAGCCTCTGATCTCGTCGCGGAATTGGAAACGAAGCCGCTATCTCTCTTTAAAAAAAATATATATATATATATTTCTCTCAGACGCTGTTTCGAGTTCGTGAAATTTCTACTCGGACGGGCCGAGTTAAATGTTTTCTCAAACGCAATTAAAGGGCGATCACGCGGATGCCTGGCCGTCATATAGTTCGCTTTCAGTAAATAATGTCACGGTATTCGATGACGCAGATCGTTCGCGCGTGCACGGTGCATTAAACGTCGCCGATAAACTTACGTCACATTAAAAAAAATTGTTACCGAGTACCCAAGGTCGCTTTTTTATGCAAGTCCGCTCGGGGAAAAAAAAATATCATAGGTAAAGTCTGTGCCGTCAGCGCTGACCTTACGCAGTCCTTTTTACGCACGGTAAATCCCGATTCCATATGATGTATTTTCACCAATTGACGAACGATGGGATCGACCAATGGGACGGCAGCGCCTAATTAATCGAGTGGTTTCGCGAAATTGCGATTGTGCTGGCGCAAACCGCCGTAAGGTTTTACGATTGAATGTGGGACCGCATTGACAAACTTGACCTATCCGATTGCGCGCTCAGGAAATGGCACGGAAGCGGAAATGGGTCAGACATGGGATTTGAACAAGACGCGTACGGTTTTGTACGGATCGGAATCGAAATTAATCAATTCTCCTGCCGAATGAGTGTTTGACTGTGCCCGCTCCCGGTCTTCTCTAGCTTTTGCTTCCACCAATCGTTTTAAGAGATATTTTTCTGGTAGTAGGATGTCCAATTGGCACTAGTGCTATTAACACTCTCAGAAAGGATTTCTGTTACCGAGAAAAATATTCTTGACGTATTTATATTTCTCACAATTAAGGGCCGGTTTCACACACGTCGGTTAACTGTTGACCAGAGTTCTGTCAACTCCCTAATTTTTTCTATCTTGTTATCTAAGAGACAGAGAATAAATTAACATTCGATTAGCAGTTAATCGATGTTTGTAAAACTGAAAAATTAACCATCGGTTTTTCTGATTAAGTTTCGTGCGCGTGGTCCATGTGCTTCGTTCGTCATCTTGCGACTTGGCAGGGATCAAAGGTGGGCTTCCTCTTCCTGAAACGTGACATCTGGACGCCGTGAATCGACTCGAAATTTCGATTTAATCTCGTCGAGGCTCCAGATGCGAGGCAAATCGTGGTAAATTATCGCGCTGTACCGTTTGGCGGTTTTTACGTACCGTTCGAAAAGTATGAAAAAATATTCTGTTTTAAAAACATCCGTACTTTTGTATACTTTTACAACGAGGTTCTCTAATTATAGACCTGTAGATCGTAGAGTCAAACGCGAAATATTAAATGCGAGATAAAGCATTTATAACGGTATGAAAATTTCTCGCAAGTAAAAATTGAATCGGTGAAAACAGAAAGAGGACGTGTAACATTTTCGTCGAAACTTAATTAACAATGGATTCTTGCTCTAGCGTAAGACCGGAAAACTGTTAAAACAAATTATTATGGCTCATATGTGTTAAATATTTAGACACTACCACCCTATCACGGCTCTTAGTCCTTTAACTGTTAAAACTTCAAGAAATAAAGGACTAAGAGCCTCAGAGCCTAAAGGATTAAGAGTAGTGTCTAAATATTTAGACACTCTTAATCCTGTCACGTCTCTTAATCCTGTAACTGTTAAAACAATTGTATAAATGAAAACTTTAACGAATCCCTTTTTCAAGTGCAAAGTAATATAAAAGCTACCGAAAAATTCGTATTACGCTTATGAATTTTTCGATAGCTTTTATATTACTTTGCACTTGCTTGTATTACTTTGTTGTTTTATTTTTCTGAAATAGACAATTTTGTACCCTCGTATCATGTGCCCTTTCTGTCCTGATCGTTTCGATTCTCTAAATTGATATATCTTTCGCTCCTGTATTATACATATGTGCGCCATCGCAGGACGACCTCGCTTCTCTGCGGAAGGCCTCTTCGTCCGTCGCTAACTCACACACGCTTACACGCGTGCATATAAACGGAAACCCTTCAAGTAGCCTACCATCCACCTCATGTGTACAGACACTTCTGTCACGCACGAGTGGAGGGAAACGCGTAAGGTACAAGTGCGCGCGTACAGGCGCACCGTGTGTAGGTGCAACTGCATTGCACTTATGTACGTACGTAGGCCTAGAAATTCACCCCTCTTTTCGCTGGACGCGAAGGGATGCCGAGGGGGATACCGGGGTAGCTCTCGAGCAGGTGCGAGCGAGTGGGTGCGTGCGACAGAGCGAGTTTCGCCGAGCAGAACGGAATCTACAGCGAAATCCGGGGCGCGCTAAACGGCCCGTTTCTCTCGTTCTGTCTGCCTTGGCGACAATTTTTCAATGTATTCGCTGTCGTGTCCGCTATTCGGTAAAAAAAAAATTACATAAAATCATGAGCGGTGCTCTGTGTATCATTACGCAGCCTGTTGTTGCAATAGTTGAGATGCTGTTAAACATTTGCGGATCTAAAGTAAAATCATCGTCATCTCTGTTGAAAGCTACGAGCGGCCATGTCGACGTGCTACAGGCATGGGCTCCGCAGGCTTGTGAAAATCGCTGGAAAATGGTGCGAAAAGGGTGTCGTGTTACGCCCCGCAACATTTCCCGCTAAATTTGCGCGTGTCTGACCTCCAGTTCCTCCCTCGCCACCCCACCACCCGTTACACGGCCCTATTTTCGTTCAGTCCTTCGTCCGTATATCCTTTTCTGGCGCAAGTAGCGAAATTTATTTTATGCCCTCTCAGGTCCCTCTTCGAATTCCTCCGAATATTTAGTACATCCACCTTGAGAAGGTGTCACAAGATTAGAACCGCGATGTCGTATTTCACGCAACATCGCGCGGCGAAGCCGATAAGTTATTTGGCATGGTAGTCGCGGAACAATGGCGCTTGTCCATCTTAAGTAAAGAATAATAACTTTTTTCGAAGATTCACAGATTTCCCTAGACAATCCTTCCTTTTTTTTTCCCCACGAAACAATGTTTCGCGATTTATACCATAAAATAATAAAAACCACGAAAACCACGTAAATCGTGAAAAATCGTTCCGTCCCGGAGCAACTCAATGGGACTATAATATTTGTAAAATGTTTTTTTAATATATACTTTTCGTTAATTATGAGAAAACTGCATTCCTGGAATTATATAATTCCACGTATAAGAAGAACTGCGTTATGTCCGAAAAAGAAATCGGCGCATAGCACCAATGTGGAAAGAAACGGTATATAGATTTTCAGAAAAATTACAAGTTGGGCTACCTACATCCTGCCTTGCGACCCACATTGGCGTGTTCTCATATGTTGTTTAGTTTTAGATAGGGGTCTTACTTGAAAGTTTATTATTCGTTAAAATTAATGTTTTTTGAATGAATAAAAAGGGACTTAACCCATTATTTTAATGTTTTTTAAAATAATTTTAAAAACGGTTTTCAAAAATTTTAAAGAACACGTTATAAATATTGTTTTTCCCCATTGGTAAGAAATGACGTGCCGATCGACGAATCGTTTCTGACTGGGGTGGAAGGAGATCCATGAGGCTTTTACCAAAAACAGTTGAAATCAATAAACAACAATGGCAAATAAATTAATAATCCTTCATTATATATTCGCGTATAAATAGCGCACGTAAAAAATCCGCTTTTAAGTTTCATTACATAATTACGAGATTTCCTTCCGCCATCCCTTTCCGGTTTTACCGACGAGAAGTGCCTATTGTATAAATAAGCTCAATCATGGCGATACAACTATTTGTTGAGATATTCTCTAGATAAAGTTGTCGGATGGTGTCCAAAATAAAAGAGAGTAATATATTAATTAAAAACGATACGTAAAATTGATTTATGAAATTACACGGCCTGTCTTTGCAGAGTTCTCTGGCGAATCGGCGATCGTGGATGCCGAAAGATAAATAAGAGATATTCGAGATGTCTTTATACTATAAGTCAATGTGAACAATATACATATATATGTATGTATGTATATATATCTTACGCTAAATGTGCAACGCGAGTATAAATGTAATATCATATGATCGGCACATTTCTGAAAAATTTCTCGCCTGTTTGTCGCAAAGGGACACCATTGAGGGCGTTTATTCACGCCTTTAACAGATTTACACCGTTTGCGATTAGCAATTGGCAATGGCAATTAATAATAGACTGACAACGTGTATTCGCCTCTGCCTGACATCGCTGGTAATACGCGTCGCGATACTTTACTCGGGTACGCGTCGCTCATAGAACGCTACATTATCGGTATACGAGTACACTTTCAATGCCGTTGCCAGGCGCGCTCTGTGGTCGCGGGATTACAATCGTGTAGAGAACGACATACTACCATTTAATAGCGCTTATCCCCTGGAAACGCACCCCATTCGCGCAATGCCGCAACGCGCCGTAATCGCCCGTGTCCTCAGAAATTCTGAATAATCTGGCACGCGCAGCCATGCGGAAACCAGAACAAGTCGGTGTAAAGTCGATTCCCGCTTCCCTCGAGTGCCACTAGTCTCTTTTGTACGAATTGCTGCTGGCACCTACTCCTGTATCCCTCCGGGATGGAGCATATACCGTTGCACACATCGTTCCTGAAAGGCACAAGATGGATATCTCATCGTTACCGTCTCCTTCAAGTTCGATAAGGACGTCATCCCGACGTGACGTAAAATGACGATTTCTCCTGAGCTAACGTCAGCTTGGAGCGAATGTGAAAATTGAAGAATCAAATGACAATTAGAGCGATTTCTTTACAAATATTACAAAGCCCCGTATCAGGTTTATCATCACAAATTCCCCGGGTACACTTACAAGCACTTCTCGCTTCTGACGAGCTGCGTGTACTTGTCCTGGCCCGGAATATTAACAACATACATCCAGTTGCCCTCTTTGTTTAGAGCGGCACGGGGAGCGATGTATTGCTCTCGTGTGGGACACAGGGGAATGATTTCCGGATCCGACTGTCTCTTTACACGGTCGCCCTTAAGTTTAGCGTAGCTCAACAACGGGTTCACGCTGTAACTTCGCGGCGCTACCTTGTCACTTCGCGAATATCTGTTATTTAACACAAGACGTAATAATGCAAATTAAGATAAAATATATTATCATATTATTACATTACGGCCGGTATTCAGATCTTACATTCAAGACGTGAATTTATCTGAAGATGCTGTATGTAACATTTCTATTGGCCTGAATATAAGATCTGGAGGTCAATTGTGTATCTTACTACACTGTAGTAAAAATGCTAAAAATGAGTAGCTTCGTCTCTTTCTAACTGTCCCATTAGAAAGAAATAAAGCCGCTCACTTTTTGAGCATTTTCACTATATTCTACTCTCTAAAATTTGTGGAGTGAAAATACTGCCATGGAGTGAAATGTTCACCCTATTGGCGTGAATATTTCCTTCAACAGAGTGAATATTAACTCCAACGGAGTAAACATTTCACTCCATGGCAGTATTTTCACTCCACAAATTTTAGAGAGTAAGATACAGAATTTTGATGATCAAGTACACTGACAAAAAAAAACTTTTTAGAACTAAGTAAATAGATTTACTTAAAATTATTTTTTTACTGAAGTAAATATTTTGTTGGCTTAAGAGTTTTTTTTATCAGTGTACATACATACGTGCGACAAGAAGTCGCCATTTTAGCATCTCCATGCGATACCGATAGTCGTACCTATTCGTCAACCATGATTGGTTCGGTCTGAATACGCCCAAGGATTCCTGAGAGTAAGAACGATCGAGTTGCCGTAGAACGTCCTGATGATACTTCAACGTTACTTCCGGGAGGAAAGGGTTCCTCTGCGATTCTGGCGCGGAGTGTTTGTAACTGCAATTCGACGAGTCGAAAATTTAACTTCGTACGCTAATATCGTTTCCCTTCGTTCGTACCGCCACTCAAATATATCTTCCATCCCGTACAGACGACAATGTGAATAATTTGACACGTGTATGCGAGTCCTACCTGTGATAACGGCTGCTATTGGACGGAGGACCATATACGAGGGCTGGCTCTCCTTTTAGAGGAGGCTGCGTGTATAATTGACTATTGTCTTGTCGTGGATAGTCATAGCCTTGATCATAATCCGGCGAAGAACTTAAAAACGGTAATGAGAAGGATATGCGGGAGTACCGATTATTAATGATTAATTACATAGAGGAAAGTCCTATATTATGAGACAGGTTTCTAATATGAGACAGCAAGTTTTCAACACCCAAATTTAATCACAAATTTTTTTTCGCAACGATTACACAATCTAACAATGAATTTTCTACTAAACAGATTTCATTCCAAGGGCAACAAATTTATAGAATTAACAGATGAGGCCTAATTAATTTAACTCCGCTATCTCATATTAGGAGCCTACAGCCATAAAATAATAGGGGACTTTCCTCTATTAATTAATCTATTGTTATATATATAATATTATTATATATTACATATAAAATATTTAAAATAATAAAAATTAAAAAATAAGCATACTTTAGCGTCTCTAACGGTAGAAATTGTTATTCGTACTTATCTGAGATTTGAGTCTTTCTCGCGTGTAACTTTCGTTCCTTACATAAATATATCGCGATATTTCAGTATCGAACATATACCTGTATGCATTGAAATCGTCGCGGGATTCATCTTGCAACGCGGTGTTAAAGTCGAAGCTGCATTTGTCGACGAGAAACTTGATGAGTTGTCTAAAAAAAAAGAAGAAGAAGAGAGAGAGAAAATAAAAAGAGGGGAAAAAAGAAATCGTTACCTCTCCCGAGGACGGAATACAATGCATTGGTAAAAACGCGATGCATTCTCTCGTTTTTACCAAAGTAATTCTCGGGAATTACATTCGACCTTTGGCTTCGCACGCGAGCCGAGATCTTGCTGCAACGCGTATCAAAGATACCGGCCATTCTGTCTCTCGGCCGGACGACCGAGATTCGTCTCTCTTCCAGGTTGACAAAAGGTTATTTACGCAGGTGCGTTCCCAATTGGGTGTATTGCGCAACTGTGTTAGGCCTGAGCAAGCATTAGCGAGGCGAGATGCAGCGTGTTTGTTTGCGGCGAAATGACACGCGCGACACCGTGAGCTGATAGCCCGACTCGAGTCGGCAATTTGATGTTTCTGACAGTCTAATTGACCGTTGTACGGGTCGTCCCTACGCGCATAATTATCGGAAGTGACAGCTGTCTCAGTCGCAAGTTTCTCCACTTGCTAAAATTATTCAACTTGGTGCGGTTGGATCGTTGCGGCTTATCGAAACCCCATTCATTTCACTGCGCGGCGTTAAAAGCTGCATGAGACGGCATAATGCAGTATTGGCGATATTTTCGGATATACAGAATTGTTTAAAAGAAAAAGTCTGTTCTGAGCGTTAAAAAATATCGCTGTTCTACGCGCAATCGCCTGTTTCATTATTCATTCCTGCAAACTTGTTCAAACGTATACGATTCGCGAGTGCTCGATACGAGTATTGTTCATGCAAATATTTGGGGTCATGTCGCAAGAGCGATTTGTGCAGCGGAGAGGGAAGAAAGAAATACCGGTATTCAGCACGATGGGACTCGGATTCGGACTATTGTAACGGGTCCAATAATTATCCAACAGCGTATGACCGCGTCAAGGCCATGGTCACGGTACGCTGAGCAACGATCTCACGGACGTTCTTCTTACATTATAGCGACCGCTCACTTTACGTAACTCTTCCCAACATCTTCGGGGATTTGAGCGTGAAAGTGCGCGGAGATTTGGGAAATCGCATGGTCACTTGCATACGGAGCACGAGAACAGTAAGCGGGGAGTAACTAACGGGTGCTGCTCCAACATCTCATTTCTGTGGTTTCGATCGCGCCGGAGATGGGAGCTCTTCTGGGCTAGATCGCGCTTATAAAAAAACGAGGAACGAAAATCGTTTTATGGGCGAGAGTCGCTCCGGCTGGTTGTGCAAGCATATTAAGGCGAACTCGATGCTTTCGAGAAACGAATTCTCACCTCGATGAGGAGAGGAGAGTTAGCGGACTTTCCCCTCCAGAAGTTTTTCTCAGCGCGCGCGTGGATCATTCGTATGCATAGAGGAAGGCGGAAGGTGGACACGGTGGACGTGGCGAAAGGAATATCAACAATTGGAAATGGGTCGACCGGATTGCCGCGGATTTCCACTTGTTGCGTTACCTCGTCGCTGATTCGACAAGGATATTTTTTGGGGGGGAACGGAGAAGAGGATGTTCTAAGAGTACTTACCGAGGATAGTGGTCTGGGGTTTCGCAGAATGTCTGCCCCGGTGGCGCGCAGTGGGGAGTGTATCCTGGAGGCGCAGGTACGAAAGGGTCATACTGCGGCCGTCCTGGACATCCGTACTCCGTACAGGGTTCGCCCCGAGTGACCATCAAGAAAAACTATTCAAGAATATGATGATATTTATAAAAAGACTAGAGTTGCGTTCGGAAACATCACCCGAGTGCCCCAGTGGATCATTTGTTCTTGTCGCTCACCGAATGTACAAATAAGGATAAAATGATACACGGGGACACTCGGGTAACGTTTCCGAACGCAGCTTAGATGGCGAGAAAGACGACAATTAAAACATTCTTTTCGATCCGCAAGTCTACGCAAAATATTCATTCCCTTTGTGTACGTACGTGTAAGTACAGCTTAAACGCGTTTTGCATTTGCAGTCAAATACACGATAAAACTTGAAGCACGAGATCACTAGTGTCGACTAAGCACGGTGTACAATGTGGTACCACTTATTGTGAAACGCTGCACCGGCTTGTAATCGATCGCTTATCGGGATACTTCCTGTACGGTAGAAATGCGTACTTTTTGCGACGGTATTAATCGGCTCTGATTCAGCCCACACGTAATTCGATCGGTAGATAAAAAAGCGCTAGCGATTAATCAAGAAGATGAGTCAATGGCGATTCGCGATTAGAAAGGTATATACAGCGTGCGTTTACCAATTAATGGAAATACCATCATTACATCACATTTAAATCCAGCTTCCCGCGTACCCTGCAACTACGGTTAATTCTTAACATTAGATCGGACCGATCACTTACGATTGATATGTGCCACGCGAGCGCCATTTCGATCGTTATGATTCACCCCTCCGTGATAGAACCTTCTCTCCTGTAGTGAGCAGGTGTCTCGGCAGGAAGGAGGCCGCGAAGTCACTTAATTGGCATCGCGTGCTGATCAATCGCCGTGCCAATGTCACCGCTGATAAACGATAACCCGGCTCGACCAGTATCGTTACCTTGAGGGCGACCGTAAGAAACAAAGAACCCCGTTAAGAATAAAACTGGGTTGAGTCTCGCGCTTGATATATACCTTCGAATTTTGGAAATAAACGAAAGCTCGTGTCCGTCGGCCGAATCTCGAGTCGCATCAACTTTACAGACTTTAAATCGAAACTCCAATTGAATTTGGGACTGATCTCCCGTCTCTTCTAGACGCTACCGTACTGCAACGCGTGTAACTCGTCGCGCCGACTACGACAGAGCACAGTCAACCATAACGGACGTCTCTCCACTTTTGGCCAGCGTGATTCGAAAGTGTCCACGACAACTGGGTCCAGACACTGGCGCGATTCGGTTCTACGCGCCGCGAGTCTACCTAGCAACGTGGGATACGTGGGTATACCACTGTGCGTTGGCCCCTTCCTCGGGCGACGTGCACGAGTTCTACTGGGACTCAGGGTGGGGTAGGCGGACACATACTTTCACTAGAATACGTGCAGCGAGGGATTCATCGACCTTATGACAGCATGAACTAAGTTTTTCTCCGGATGACACGGATACATCTTGATTACGCGACATCGCTAGTGTGTCAGGAAAGAGAAAGAGAAATGCTACTTCTTATACCAAAACTCAGCGTTCAATCGACAGAAATCGCTGATAAAATTTCTTTTTTTCGCATGAGATATCGCAAGCGTCTTTCACTTTAAGATTTTCGATGGAGATAAATTACCTTTTGGTAAAAATTGGAGTCATTAATAATGCGACAATGCCAAACGTTGAAAGATCGAGTGAAAGTAACGCTAAATGTTTCGAATGTTCAAAAATAGTTGGTTCAGAAAATAAAGTCATGTTGAAATTAATCGTACGGAGGTATTTTCAATAATTTGACTTGAATACACGGTAGTCAGAATTTATGCTTCCTGGTCACTACTTAAGATATTCAGTGATCTGAATGGGACAGACAGACTTAGATTCAGATAACATATACGCGAAGAGAATGTTTTCTTAAAATTTATCCTGAAATCATATCGGAAGAATTTTATGAGTTTTCTAAATTTTACCATACATTTTACTGGTAGAATGTATGATAAAATTTCAAAAAAGTTTCATAAAGGTTTTCAAAATACCATGTCCTACGATTATATGATTTTCAGGTAAATTTTAAAAAAAATTCTCTCCGTGTAATAGTTTATGTTTATATACGTTTTATGTTTTTAAATTTAATAATTAATGTACTTAATATTTTATCACAACTCGAAGGATATAAGAGCCAGAGCCAAGACAAGATGTTAGTGTCTAAATAATTTTAATTTTTTAATTTATTGCGAAAAATTTACCCCTGTCAGAGTTTGAACCTGGACCTCCCTCTACTTAATCTCTTAATATTTTATAAAAACCAACATATTCTACTTGAGTTACAATAGCAGAAGAGACAAATAATTATTATATAATTGTTTCATTATTATTCAGGAGCTCTATTGGAAACGTGATAGGTCATAACAAATCCGTCAGTTACATTGCTATTTTGTCAATCATATTTTTGAATAAATAAGAAAAGACTTCAATAATAAATAAATATATACATATTGAACAAAAGTTCAGTGTCAAAGCAAGGTGTTCGTGTTTTAATAATTTATTACGGTTAAAATCGATGAAACATTTCAATTTCATCCGTACAATTTTTTTATTTAAGTGTTTAATATTTGTCTATTAAAAATTTTTAATTTATATAAAACATTCAAAATGTTAGCAACATACTCAAAATACAAGGGTTGAAATGTTCATGTTGCAGATAGATTGCGACTAGCAAACGTCAAGGTAAATCAATCGATAAAGAAAGTTCGTTGTAATTAAAGAAAAATAAAGCAATTGTACATATTCCTTCATTGGGCTTCATTTAGGAAAGTGAACGGCATTTGAATACAGCGGTTCCACAGCCATATTCGTTTTTAGTTCGGAGTTTCGCTCGCGGTGCTCATGATGACGCTTGAATACCATACCTACATTTAGTGTACGACTGGGTGATCTACTGAGCAATACCGTGGCGGCCGTGGCTGATAGACGCGCTGGCGCCATTGGCAACTTCTTCTAGAGAGAAGCTTGAGAGCTGCCACCATAGTCTTATATACTAGACTCCGCCAGAGAGAAGCTTGAAGCCTATCACACAATGCCAGGCAACAGGCAATAGGAATAGGGAATATCATTTTTGACGCGTTGGATTCGTCGGAAATTTTCTTCCAACCAATCCAACGCGTCAAAAATTCTATTCCCTGTTCCTGTTGCATGTTGTCTGGCATTGTGTGATAGGCTTGAGAGCTGTCACGGTTACGTTTTTCGTGATTGGCGAAAGCGATACATCCTCTGTGGACATTGGCTACGTAGTTTATGTCCACGTTTTTCAATGTCCACAGAGGGCGTATCGCTTTCGCCAATCACGAAAAACGGGGCCGTGGTAGCTCTGATTGGCTGCGTTCAGCAGACACAACTGTTGAGTGAGCGCTCAGTATGATTGGCTAATACTTTTAGATCCAGCCAATCATGTTAAGTAATCATTGAGCGCTCACTCAACAGTTGTGCCTGCTGAACGCGGCCATTGAGC